TTAAGTTATTAGATATAAGTTATTAACTACTGTTGTTAGTTAAGTCTGACAAACTATAATTCAAATATCCCTTGAAAGTAAGAAACAAGGTTCTTAATTACTGGATTAAACTGAGCTCCTAAACAATGTCCTGTCTTTTCCTTCCGTTAAATTTTCATCCATTGTTTGCCCTTTTCCTTGTTGGTGACCAAAATGATGATATTCCCATAAAACTTAAAATACCCTTGCTCGTCGTCCTTTTTTTAAAAAATTCTTTTAATAATGAATTATATAATAAAAAATGACATTTATTGTTTCCAAATCACTCTTTTTCACCTTTTCTTAGACTTAAGTACAAGAAAATTTCAGATGGACTAGAGAAAAAGAACCAAGCTCATGTGCATGTGATGTGCATGTGAAGTGATTTGAATCTCTCTCAAAATTTTGAATTATGCACTTCATTATTGGAGCTACAAGCTCAAGTACCATAAAATCCAAAATGGTCTTATTTTAGATTCATGCGAACATTAATGTTTGATGCAATGGTGGAGTGTTGAGGCGGCGATGCCAGGGGGTATACATGGAATATGACAATGTTTCATGTCTGATTTGCAAAGGATTTAAGAAATAGGAGCATTTATTCTTAAGTGGTGGTCTGATATTTGCGGACTTGAGGGATGCAACATTGCAACCAGCGGAAGGCGGGAAGATTTTTATTAGACCTCATACATCACGTGGATAAAAAAGCAAGGAGAGGTACATGAACCCACGAGACAGTGGGCGTGCAATTAGAGGTGCCGTACAAAGATGTTCTAAAACTTTATATTGGATCAAAATATCTCTTGTAATTGCACATAATAAATATCTTCTTTCTTTAGCTGATTAAAAAAAAAAAAGGTAATACATTGCCTTCGCTTAATAATTAGTTGATGACTTCAACTCTTCTTCTTCTTCTTTTCTCTCTCCTTTTTTCCTATTTTGTCAACCATTTATGGACTTTTCCTTCTCTTTTCCTACTTTGAAATGATGTTATCCCC